TCCATGAAATATCTCTCCAATGCTGCCACAACAACAAAAAAGCGAAACTAGCGATCAATTAGTAATTTTCGGCACTAGAATCATTTTAGAAGGTTTGAAATCACCTAAGATTGATATTAAGAACATGAGGGAGTATTTACAGAACATAAAACCTTTAAAACAACCTCCCACACGAGCTGGAACGACACAAAAATGAGCAACAACAAGAAGAACAAGAGACTTACTAACAACAAACTTCGGAATGCTCACAACAACATCAATCACCAATTTAACATAGGATTCAAGGCTAAGAACTCCAAAAACTCTTAAATTATGCTTTCGATCAAAAAGACTATCAAATCTCGTCCGAATGACCTGAAATTTTTCACACACATCCCAAATGACACAACGAAACTACTGCAACTCTCGGAATTCCATTCCGACCCCTATATCAAAATTTCACATATCAACCGGAAAGCGCCGAAATCTCAATTTCGCCAATCCAAGCCTAAACCTTCCATTGACTTTCAAAATGCATTCCGATCATGCTCCTAAGTCCCAAATCACCTAACGGAGCTAATCAAGTAGTAGATGAGATAACTTTAGAAACTTGAAATAGGTTCAAAGAAGTTAGGACTTTTTTTTTCTTTTGAAATCAAACAAGTTCAGAGATTTCAGAAAAGAACCGAGACCTTTAACATGCATCTTTCAATAGAAGAAATTCATGAGAAACATAGTAAAAGAACAATATGCGAAACACAGTAGAAGAACTCATAAGAACATAGTAGAAGAAACACATAGGAAGACATAGTAGAAGAACTCGTAAGAACACACTAGGAGAGCCACATAAAAATCACGGTAGAAGAAACTAATAAAAAACATAGTAGAAGAAACACACAAGAGAAAAAAAAATCAGAGAAACATCTAAATAACTTAACAAAAACCCAAAATCGAAAAGATAAAGGTTTTGAAAGCATAGTTTGTTGAAAGAAATCTTGAGAAATTGTTTAAAAGTTTAGGGAAAACGCGGATCTAGAACATATCTAAAGAAATTAGAAGAACCTCAAAAGTTAGGGTTTCAGAAGAAATCAGATGGTGAGAAAGGCTTGGAGAGTCGTTGATCTGAGCAGGAAAGGTCGAAATTAGGCTTGAATAGCCATAGCCGGCCGGAGCAAGGTCGAAGATATCCGAGGTCTAGACCCAATCTCTTCAAGGTCAGGCCTTGGAACTATAGTAACCAGGCGTGGAGGAGTTATAGGAGGCCGGTATAGGACTTCAATGGCTTTGGAAGCCATGAATTCCGGTGATTTTAGGGGTAGAAGTGGAGAGAGGCGACTAAGGTTTCTGAGAGAGAATTGGGAGAGGGGAATCTAGAGGCGGCTATAGGTGAGAAGAGATTAGGGCTTGGGGGGAATTGGGGAATTAAAAAGGAAAGGTTAAACATGGGCCGTTGACCTGAGTGATCAACGACTAGGATCAAAAAGAGGTCTGGGCGGGTTATTTGAATGAGTTGTGGGTCGGGTAGATTCAGGATTTGGGCTGGGTAATTGGATTTGAATTGGGGTGCCAAATCTGGCTAAAATTGAAATGCAATGGACTAACATTTAAATAGACACTTTTCCCATGTTTAATTTTATAAAAAATAGTAAATAATTTCTAAAAATAAATTAAAGGCACTAAAATGATTTTTAATATATAATTATCAAATAAAAAATTCTGGGACCAATTATATAAATATAATTACAATTAAATCTTAAAGAGGCTAATATTGCAATTATATGCAATTTAGCTTAAAAATGTTAAATGAATTTATAAAAATATGCAAAAATTATGTTAGCTATATTTTAGTATAAATATGAGAATCTAATAAGTTAATTGCCAAAATGACAATTTTGGGAATAATTATTAGGTTTTTCTTGATAAAATAGGGCAATAAATTGATTTAAAAATCTTTAAAAATTAATGAAAAATAAGAAAACCCCTGAACATACTTATATATGCATACATATGCTATTTGAAAGGTAATTTGCATATAAATATATACAGGAAAAAATTGGGTATCAACAGTGCCTACCTGGAGAATAAGAGAATTTACTTCAGAATGCAATTCAAGTCAGCAACAAAAGAAGATCGCGGCAAGAATGCGAGTCAACAGTCCGAGGTGATCAAAAAAAGTTAGTCACAATCCAGAATAAAAAAAAGGCAAGAAGTGAATCCAAATGCAGAAGTTGATGAAAGATGTGAGCAGCTCAAGACATGACTGAAGTCACGAGCATGATGTGGTGTCCGGTTTTGATCCGAAAAGCTGAAGAAAAATGAACTAACACCTGCAACTAGCAAGCGTCAAGGTTCAAATCTAAAGTCTACTTGAAGAACAACTCAAGACTCAAGATCAAGATTCAGAAGACTTATAGATAGGAATCTTGTAACTCGTAGTTGATAGACTTAGCTATTCTTTTTCATGTTTTGATTTTTGATGTAATAACAGAACGGCGGATCGGAACCTCGGTGGAACGGCACCTCGACTGGCTCTCCACCTCGGTATACTCTATCATCTCACTCACCTCTTAACTACACGTGACCTGATTCCTTTATAGCTAAGGATATGTAGGCAGCTCAGATACCAGAGCTCGGTCACATTCCCCTTTTCTCTTAGTTTTAGTCTCTCCAAATAAGGGTCGGGTCAAAAAACCTGTCTAGTCGTTCTTTGTCTGAAAACTCTTCGTGTTTCCGGTCAAAGAGGGGCAACTGTAGACATGTGATTTTTGACCCTCCCCAAGATTTTTCCCATTTTAGCGTAAAATATTTAGTTTAGGCTTAATATAGATATCTCAACTAATTTTACTCTTTTACTTTATTTTATTACAAGAAAAATAAAAATTACAAAAATGACTCATTTTTACATTCTTAGCTTTTAATTTTGGATTATTAAGTTTTCTTTTCTAATTTAGGATCAATTAATTTTTATAAATATTATAGTTATATAATTAGCTTAATTTTACAATTTGAATTGATTTAGGGATTTAATTTAGGTTTTTAATTAATTAAAGAAAGAAAAGAAAACAAAAAGAAAAGGAAATTAAAAAGCTTGGTCTTACATTCGAATTTGGGCTATGTAATGAGTGAACCCAAATCTTTCAATACCCGTTCTTCGCTTAAACTAGCACTTCTCCTTACCCAGCCCAAACGGATCGACCTGACCCGACCCGACCCAACATCCTAGACCTAGGAGAACAAAAAATCAGACCTGGACACATTTTTTGGGAGCGCCGCAGAAGACCAAAAAACGACCCCCACCCCCCTGATTTTCATCTCCTTCACCCCACCCCATCTCCAGATTTCAACGCTGCTTCTCCCACCAAGCAGCAACCTGCATCAACTACAGATACCACAGACCCCTCCACGATTCTATTTCTTCTTGAACACAACGAACGACCATCCCCTCTCTGGACCTGAAGACCGATTCTTCTTCAACACAAATCAAAAACGCCCAAGTATGAGCATCACCTTCTTCAGCGTTTGAATAGAGCCGGTGACTCCTCCCCATCGCCGCAAATTTGAAAACAGCCCAACCTTCACCCATCTCCAGCCACTTCACAAACCAGTAGCCCGCCGGAAATCCAGCGGATACAGTGACGGAAACGTGAGAAGGGAGCGGAAACAGAGCCGTTGAGGTTGTCATCGAGGTTTTCCAGTCCAGTCCTTGTTGCCGATTTACGACGAGGTTGTTTGTTCAAGCGTTAATTCTGAGATTCGAGGTTGTCTGTAGCCATGAAGGTTCATTCTTTACCCCATTTTATCTCCAGTTCATTTTACTAGCTTAGTAAATAATTTTGGGTGAGACTTTTCCGTGATCTTTTGATCCTCAACTGAATTAGTTCATTGGGAGTTATGTGATTGTCTTGACTTTCTTTATGAGACTTTGCTGAAATATTTAGATATATTCATGATAATAATCTCATGTCGGTTTGGTTCAAATTAGGTGCCTTATGCAACTGTTAAGTTAGTCTTTGAATTCGTTAAGATAGATAGTAAATTTTTAGTTATTGAGGTGTAAATGAAAGTTGCATCTTTCGGAATATAAGTATTAGAGACAAAATAAAAAGACTTGGCTTCAAAATCTGTTACTGTTTCGATTCATTAGTCAAGATTTGGCTATCGTTTAGTGTAAGCTTGCTGTAAAAATGAGCTTTGGAATAATAGGTTTGGGGTTTGATTTGCATTTTAGAGAAGAAAGCATATTTGTTTTTTTAGGCAAAAGATTAGTGATTTATTAGTTTACTTTCCGCACGATTAATAATAATTGTCATAGCTACGGGTACTGCTCCCCTGACGTAGTTGTGATGCTTAATTTTAAAATTCGGGATACATTTATGTGACCTGGCCACACTTTAAGTTTTTTTTAATAAAATAGACACGTTGTGGATCGTGGGTATGGTTTCCGTGACATGATTTGCAAACGTGTAATCAGTAATTAATTGTATAACAAGTGGATTATTAAAAGCGGTTAAAAGGAATAAAAATGCACATAGGTTTCAAAGATGTTTTAAAATCAAATAAATAAGCCAATAATAACAGTTGAGTGACCGTGCTAAAACCACGGAACTCGGGAATGCTTAACACCTTTTCCCGGGTTAACAAAATTCCTTACCCGGATTTCTGTGTTCGCTGACTATAAAGCAGAGTCAGACTTTCCTCGATTTAGGATTTAAAACCGGTGACTTGGGACACCATAAGTTATTCCAAGTGGCGACTCTGATTTTAAATAATTAATCCCGTTTTGATTGTCAATTAAATTGGAAAAAACTCCCTTACACCCCTTCCAGGGTGGGAAAAGGAGGTGTGATAGGGGATATGGATGGAGATGTTGTGAGAGAGTTGCTACATTATCATGCCCAGTAATGGTGTTGAGCTTATTTTGACACTGTTTGCAAGAACATGGCAGTGGACAATAACTTCACAGAGTCATTCAGTGCATGGATCTTGGATGCAAGGTGTAAATCAATAATCAAGATGTTGGAAGACATTAGAGTTAAGGTTATGACCTTATTGAGAGAACATGAAGATCAAGTGAAGTCATGGACTCATGACTTCAGTCCACAAAGCATGAAATTGTATGCTGATTATTTGAAGATTGCTCACACATGTGTGGTTTACTTTAATGGAGATGCTTGTTATGAGATTAGAGAAGGAGCAGATGAACATATTGTCAAAATGGAAGTGAAGCAATGCAGTTGCACGCAATGGCAACTCTTAGGAATACCATGTCCTCACATAATCAAAGCAATAATATACAAGAGAAATGACCATTTGGAGCAAATGCATTGGTGGTATAGCAAAGAGACTGCTTTAAAGACTTATTCACATAAGTTGCAGCCTGTTAGGGGTGAGAAATTCTAGAAAATAGACCCATCACTGGCCATGAAACCACCACATTTGGTGAAGTTAGCTGGCAAGCCTAAATTGAAGAAAAATAGGCAAAAAGATGAGGCAAGCAAGAGACAAGGTGAATGGTCTCCTTCAAGGAAAGGAATAACCTTGAACTGCAGCTGCTGTGGAGAACCAGGGGCGGCTCAATAAGTTTGGTGGCCTAAAGCCAAAATTTAATGTGAAGCCCTTTTTAAAAAGTCATATATATTTTTAGTTGAAGTAGATTTTTCTAGCTTTTTGAGAATAAAATTACTTAAAATTTTTCGCATAAATCATTTAATCTCTCATGTGCAGTATGAACTTAAGTAATAGAACATGATTCAAGAAGTTGATAACTTTGTATTTAAAGAAATTTTTAATGTTTCAATATACTTGTTGCAATGATAAAAACATGAGGAAAAAATAGAGTTTAAAAGTGCATTACATATTTTCTAATGATTAATGTAATCTTTTTTTATATAAAATATTTTACTTTTCTACTTTGAAATACTTAATATTTTCTTAAAAAGATTTGGGGCCTAAGAGTTGTGGTGAGATGGATAGCATATCTCCTTCTTTAATCGGAAGTATTCAGTTTCAGTATTTGGAATGAAAAAAAATCCCTTATAAGGAGCTGTCTTTAATGGATTTTACACGGTACGAATTTGAATTAATCGATGCCCCAAATTAAATATCGGACATCAAAAAAGAATTGGGAAACAAAAGTTGGGGCCCCCAAAATTATGGGGCCTAAAGCCACTGCTTTAGTGCCTTTACCCTCTGGCCGCCCTTGTGGAAAACCAAATCATAATGCAAGAGGTGTACAAAGGTGATTTGTCACTCTTTATTAGTCGTTAACAATAGACTTTATTATCTAACAATTTGTTAATTATTTATGACAACCATCTAGTGCACAATTTAAAGGAAAGCAGACAATGAAAAGGAAAAGCACCGTAGATTATGAAGACATTGGTGAAGAAATACCATTATCAGGTCCTAACAATCTCAAAATAGTCAAGCCTCCAGTAGTCCACTTGTGTTCATTCCTACCCCAACTGTTTTGATAGCATTTCATCTCTCCGAGATGTTATTAGTAGGAGACCTTTACCTCCACAATTTGCAGATGAAGAAGACCCTACTATAAGGCCAAAAATTATTTCAGAGACAAGGACAAGGCTTCGGGTGGGATAAGAAACAAGTCTTCCATCTATGACAAGATTTATCCCTGTAAGAGATAGTTCAACTGGTGTGGGTGATCCTTCAAATCTTCCCTACTCACCAACATGATTCATATGGAAGGGAAAAGAGGCTGAAACTAGCAACCAGCTGGAGATGCATGCTCAGAAAAAAATTGGAAAATTGCAGGCAAGAAAGGGAAAGAAGAGTACTATGCTGGAGTAATGTGAAGTAGGTTTTTGGAGTAATGGTTTGGGACTTACTTTTTTGTCAAAATAATTTGGTTGGTGATGCAATTTACGACTTCTACCAGTACATTTACTACTACTCTTGTTTTGCTAGGTTGGTGATGACAGTTGGATGCCATAGTATGACTTAGATGGTAACTTCTTTTGAGGTTATAATTAGGGGTGTCAATGGATATTCGAAAACCGACTAAATCGACCAAACCGTACCGTACTGAACCGATTTTTATGTTTCTTTTTAAGAAACCATAGGTTTTTATATAGATCTATAACCGCACCAATAATTAGGGTAATACCGAACCGTACCGAATAAATTTTACATGTGGAAAATATATTTATTTAGTAAGTTTAAAAATAATAATGCATTAAATTNCAAGTAATTAAACTCAAAATACTAATTCCTAAAACCTATTATGCTACTTCTACTTAAACTAAGTTATTTCAAGTATCTCTATTAGCAAGACACAAAGTATTCTAGCGATTATGAGTAGCAAACTATAATGTATTGAATATGTTTTCTTTCATATAATTTAGATTTATCTTTTTGAATATTTAATCTTCTATAGACTTTATTCTTGAGTCCCAACTTGGTATATTTTTCAACCCGTGTGATTTATATTTTCTTTGCTTTGTTTGATTTCTTTTACATTGTTGTAGAATAGTTGATGGATCTATACTCTAGCCATCTTTCTTTTTTCTTTTTTAATTCATCACCCTTTAAACAGTAAAAATATCTAGAGAGTTTTGCTAAGTCCTCTAAAAGAATGTATGTTATTGCATTCTAATTCTATTAGTGAATTTTACATGATATTAAAAAAATACCGAAAATTAACCGAACAGTACCGATACCAAAGAGAAATCAACATGATTGGGACGGTTTCGAAAAGTCTAATTTTGGTTATACATAATAGAATAACCGAAAAATTGGTATGGTACAAATTTTATAAAATAATCGGCCGAATCGAACCATTGACACCCCTAGTTATAATATAGCATCCGTATGTCAATTTAAATGTACCTTAACAATTAATTTTTTAAATTAATGGTAATAGTTATTTAATCCACTTGTTATGTAGTTTTAATATCATGTTATATGTATCGACCCGTTTATGTGAATCTTAGCTATTGTTGAACAACCCAAATTTGGATGTTTTTTATCTAGTTGGATACTCAGATTTGGATGTTTTAATAGATGAGAATCTTCAAACAAATGCAATAGCAATACATGATTTAGCTACTGTAATAGCTTCACCAGATAATCTTTTGATTTGTTCTCAAATTTTACTCCAAAACAGACAATTGCCGGTTCTAAACACACTATTTTAGCAGTGAAGATAGGTGGTGCAAGGACATTTAATTTCATCTTTTACCCAACAAAATAACATACAATACATTGCTCTAAATATCCCAACCTAACTAAACTTCATAATACAAAATACCACAACACTAGATATCATTTAATTCATCAAACAAGCTGCAACTAAGGTACCAAATAGGACCCATGATATCAAAATAACTAAGTTCATTTTCTTGGAATTGGTCCTTTCCAATTGATTTGTAGCCCCCATTTCTTCAACTTTAATCTTCAATAAGTCCTTCTCGAGATAAGCCACATCCAATATCGACTTCAACATACTTGTTTTGGTCTCTCCAATTTCAATTATAGCCTCCATTGCTTCAATTTTTTCTTTTAATTTCAACCTTAGCTGCATCCAATTGCGACTTCAACTTGCAAATAACAGTCACAACTCTGTCCCATAATACTTCATCAACCCATTCGAAATAACCACACGAAGTTTTCTGAAAAAACAATTCAAATGATTTCAATCTAGAAAAGAATTGAACAATCACAACATGATAATTATATAAATTAACTCACATCAGGTTTAGGACATTTGTAGAATCTCCGACCAGCGTTGCAAGGAGTGTAAGCGGTAAAGTAGTGGGCAGTCCTACCGCATAAACACCTCCTCTTCGATCCAACTTCTTGAGACGAACAACTATCTTGTGACATTGTTTAAATTAAATGACAGATTTACGGGAACAAAAGTGAGAAAATTAAATGATCTTCTTGCAATAACAGATGGAGCAAAACAAGAAGAAACCAACTACAAATTTATTATATCATAATAATAGCAATCCCTTGTGTGATTGAATAGTATATCAAGAATACAAATAACTAATAACTAATATATAATAGTACATGACAGTACAAATAACTACTACAATATACTATAAATTTAGGGGTGACAAATGGGCGGGTTGGGCTGACTTTGGGCGGGTCAAGATGCGTTAGGTCAATAAATGAGTCATTGCCCAACCCAGCCCAAAGTGTACTCAAGCTAAGATGGGCTGGGTCAAGATGGCTAAACAATGGGTCATAACCCAACCCGCCCAACTTGACCCATGTTTTAGAACAATGCTCATCNGTGGGGGTGAATGGTGCAGAAAAATAAAATAATATAAAATTGAAAATACAAAAAAAAAGTAAAATTGGGGCAGCTAAATAAATTTCTATATAAGTTGGCTAAAATATTTGTAACCTAACCCATTAATTTCTGGGCGGGTTAAATGGGTTTGGGCTCAAATTACCACCCCTAACTATAATAATACACGGGCAGGAATAACTTTTCTCCGAAATAAATTTGGTTTGGACGCAAAAGTAGAGAAGCCACGTGCAAGTTGTACTAAGGAGGAGATAAAACCGGACGCAGCAAATCATTCCCCCTCCTTCCCCTGCACTTTCACTGAAGCCTCCGCTTAGGGTTCCAAATTTAACTCCAGAACTTTTAAATTGATTACGCAAATGGCATCCCATAACCACCTGGACGATGTAACTTTTTTTTTTCTATTTCAATTTCTAAGGTTTTCTTGTCTAATATTATTTACTTATATTCCTGTATACAATACAATGTTGAAGAATTTTCGTTTTTGGGAAATTGTTAGGACATCGATTTTGGTGGAGATTTCGCCGGCTCTAGGCATTCAGGTTTGCTCATTCTTCCCTTCCGTTTCACCTTTACTGCAAGCCTTTTTGGTATATTTCTCGCCTTTTAACACTTTAAGACGTGATTTAGGTACCAAAAGAAGCTTTGGAGACCTTGACGATGATGAAGATGATATTTTTGGCTCTAAAAAGGTGCTCCCTTTCTTGTTTTGTTTTTACTTAATGTAATTTAGGCTGTCTTGACAACCATACTAGCAAACCAACTATGGTTCTAGGAGAGAAGAATAGTCAAAGTGCGGTTTGATGAATTGGAGAAATCGGAGACGACCATAGTTTCGTTTTGGTTTAGCGTTGGATTTCTAAGTATTGATAGTGACCATGAGACTGCCATTAACTTCATTTTGATTACCAATGTAGAAAAATACAACTTTCTGGACATGATTTACATGCTTGGAAGTTTGTGTGGCCTTAGCTAAGTTAGATGATAACCTTGTGGGTGAGTGAAGTAAGGAGATTGTGTCTTCTGAGAGAAAAGTTTATGCAATTTCTGTGCAGTGTTGCTGTAATAAGATGTTGGTAAAATTCCTTTCAATTTTTTTACGATGTTGGTAAAGTTGGTTATTCCTAACTTGCTAAACTGCTAAGTATTTTTTAACGACCGAGAAATCCTCTGATTCAGCTCTAAAACTTGGGGATAATGGTCTTCCGCTCTATGACTTGGGGATAATGGATTTGATGCAACCGTTGTTAAGAAATTTTCACCGGGAATTATATGATTAAATTATTTTGTGTTCACTAGAATTAGAAGACCGCAATGTTATATGGTAGGGAATTTTGTGTCGTTAAAGTCCAACATATTCACAGGATGGGTATTGTAGATGAGAATGGTTAGATGGATGCGTGGATATGCAAAATTAGATAAGACTAAAAATGACCACATTCCCCATAATGTGCAAGTATCACACATTGAGGATAAAACGAGAAAAGGTCACTGGAGATGGTATGGTCATGTCCAACGTCGGCTTACAGATGCACCGCTCCCTCCGCTCCCTGGGAATGAACCTTTAGTTTGCAAATTTATTAAAAGGGAACAAGGTAGGCCTAAAATTACATGGAAGGAAATTATCTCAAAAGAGTTGCAATTCATTGGAATCAATGCGGATTAGCTAAAAATAGAGCGCAATGGACGAAAAAGATCCATGTAGGTGATATATACTAGTTGAGGTTTTAGTCTTGTTAGTACGTTTGTATTGAACATATGCTTTTTTAGGAGTATTTTGACCTTATCGTAGATTTATATGCCAATAAAAATATAGAAAACTTTTACTACTACTACTACTACTACTATTTATAAATATATTTGGCTAATTTTTCACTATTATGTTTATTTGGCAAAATAAATAAACAAACACTTAAAGTTGGTCCCAAATGTCACTTGAATACTCCAACTTATCCAATGGCATCTAGGATTAGATTATTTTATGTGGGCCCCATACTACATTTTTCTTTTTTTTTTTCCCACAATATTTCCACCTCATCAAAATTTCATCTCCTCCAACAACCTTTCTCACAGCACTACTCCACCATCTTCTGCCGTAAATCTACCACCTCTCTTTCAATCTTGACAAAATAAATCAATAGCGACTACAATGCCATAACAATTCGGTGAGAACCATAGCATCATAACCCAAAAGCATAGGACAAAATGATAGAGGAAGCACACCGGAATGGTGGCGACGAGGCAAAGCAAAAAACGGAGCACCGACAGCTATACACCATTCACTGACGACATTGCTTCCATCTCCGGTTGACACATATTGGAGAAATTGAAGCAGATTGACTCAAATCTAGTCTTCTGAAAAGTACATATGTACAAGTAATCTGCATCATGCTTTCAGAATCGGGCTTGAATTTTTTTTTTATGGTGATTCGACTTCAGATTTGGAGCTAGATTATTCGCTCATCATCTTTTGGCTATTGCCTTTATAGTGTTGGGGCTAGAATTTAAAAATGGTAGAAAACGAAGATAAATCAAATGGGAGAAAATGTAGATGGGGACGGAGGGGTTTTGTTCTGGCAAGAAGAAGAACTTGGGGGTAGGGGAGTGGAGTTTGTTTTTTAACGTTTTTTTTTGTTATATAGTTATTGCAAATTCTTTTTTATGATATGTGGCAATTTTTTTAAAATGGCACGTGTCATCATGCCATTTGGTCATTTGACACGTCACCCATGACGGGCCTTCACGTGTGGGATTTGACGGATTTAGGTGTCCACGAGATACACTGAGGGCAAGTTGATGTGTCTAGATAATTATTGGGTAAGTTGAAGTGTTCAACTGGTAGTTGGGGCTAACTTTAAGTGTCTGTTTATGTATGTATTTAATCTTTTTATTTAGTTTGATAATGACATGAGTTAAACTTAAATGGGGTACATGGTCAGTGATGATTTATATAACCCACCCCAACTTGTTTGGGACTGCGTCATAGTTGTTGTTATAGTAAAATTAGTATAAAATATAGAGATCGAGGGGAAAATTCAATAGGGTACACGAGAAGTTGACTGCTCATAATTACTCTCCTTGTTAAATTTATAAGATATACTCCATCCGTTTCAATTTATGTGAACCTATTTCCTTTTTAGTCCGTGCCAAAAAGAATGACCTCTTTCCCTATTTGGAAACAATTTACCTTTATGCAATGATTTATAGCCACACAAAATATATGTGTTTCATTTTACACCACAAGTTCAAAAGTCCTCTCTTTTCTTAAACTCCATGCCCAGTCAAATGAGTTCACATAAATTGAAACGTAGGGAGTACTTCTTTTGGGACATTGCAAAATGTTTAACATAATAAGGTGCAGTTTCTGATACGGTCAAGGATTCAAATCCTTCAAGAATATTGAACTTGGACTGATGTCCAAGGTTTTTTCTAGAACAATTTTTACCACTATCTTTCACAATTTCTCACATGATAGGTGGGTTGCTCTCTTAAGCCTAATCATATTAAACTAATATGTGTCCTAGGGACCTATTAGCAAGTTAATATTTATCATTTACTCCTTTCAATACTAGGATAACTTGAAAGTAGAAGAAACAGCACCCGGTGTGGCGACAGGGATGATCTTGTCTCTTCGTGAGAGGTATGGTAATTTGACCCTTATTCCATATTTGTAAACTTTTTTTTGGATTTAGTTGCTTATGTTTTGCCACTTTCTCACTGTCTTTTGTGCTTTGACATTGCAGTCTTCAGGACTGTAAGGACACCCTTGCATCATGTCAGGTGTGTATCATTTTAGATTTTGTTTTTTGTTTTCCTTGGTTATATTCAAAACGACCTATCATCCTTTGATTTCAACATTACATATTGATGCCATGTGATTTTTTTTTCCCTTGTTTATTATCAGAGCCTAGAAATCTAGATATTTTTTCCCCGCTTGTAGTATGTTGGATTATCATACTTTATCTCAGTTAATATTGACAATATAGGATTTTAATTAGCTTAGAAATAAATCTTCACTGTTCCTTGAGCCGATGATTTATCAGAAACAACCTCTCTATCTTATTGGTAAGGTCTGCGTACACTCTACCCTCCACAGACCCCATTTATGAGATTACACTGGGTTTGTTGTTGTAATTAGCTTAGAAGTAAGAGCATATAGTGCCTTTCATGGGAAGTTGTTTTGTTCTTTCTCTGATACTTTACTCAATTCGTTCTTAAATTCATTTTAGATGCTTTCATAGTACAGGATAAGATCTCTTTCTTCTTTTGCCTCCTAGATAATAATATGCTTTAACAAACATGTTGCCTTGATGGTGAATATTTATGCGCGGACTCTCCAAAATGCTGCCAAACCCGTGTCTGATCCTCCAAAACACTACATTTGGAGGATCCGACATGCACCCGACGGCATATTTGGAGAGTCCAAGCAGCATAATTGGTGATAATTTACTTACAACCTGTCTTTTCATCAGCATAAATAGTTCTTCCCTCTCCAGCCTGCTCTTTTGATTTGAACTCTGCCATTCATACATCCTTAAAATGTCCGAGGGGCTAAGATTTCTAATTTCACAGTTTTCATAGTCTTCTTTTGGTGTTTCTGTGTCTTCCTAGATTCTTATGCTAACACTAATTTGTTCAAGCTTTGTGTGGGGATTTTTTGGATTCACAGCACACTTAATGGAGCCTGAATTATGCTGTTGAATGACCAAATTTCTGATTGAAATGGCTTAAATTAATTACTGACTCGACTGTTTATGTTTGTTTCAGACAGAACTTGAAGCTGCAAAATCTGAAATACAAAAGTGGCGGTCTGCGTTTGAAAAGGAGTCTTTCATACCACCTGGCATGACACCTGGTATGTCCTCAGCATCGTTGTACTGTGACTTATAATCCTGTTTCTCTTCGTCTGGTCTTTCTTTTTGACATCTTTGTGTTTGCCCAGTTGCTGTTGTTTGTTTGACTCATACATGAAAGAAAAATTACATCTTTAATTCCCTCTGTCCCATTTGATATGTGATATGGTTTTGAAAGTGTATGGAATTTATGGGAAAGTTTGACTTTTTTGTTGAAGTAATAGGAGTAGTAACTATTGTGATGCTTCCACCATCATATCATTGCTTAAAGTTGAAATTTTCCAAATGCATCTGTTATCATTTGTGCCCCTCCCCCAGGTAGGGGTAAAGTCTACGTACACTCTACCCTCCCCAGATACTACTAGTGGGATTCTATTGGGTTGTTGTTGTTGCATCTGTTATCATTTGCAGTGTCGCGTTCAACATTTGGGGTCGCCCTTAGAATGAAATGTTTCTTTCATGTTAATTGAGATGGAGGGAGTAACTTCTTCCAATAAGGAGAATTAACTGTACTCTTATTTGCAGAACCCAAGTTTGTGGTCAGTTATCTTCACAACCTCAAATCATCAGAGGAGTCATTGCGTGAACAGGTTTTTGATTATTCCTCTTTATTTGCTCACTGCTAATAAAATTAGTGAAACTTTTTTCTAATCATTTTCTCATCTTTGCAATCTGTAGTTGGAAAGAGCAAAGAAAAAGGAGTCTGCATTTATTGTGACATTTGCCAAAAGAGAGCAGGAGATAGCAGAGTTGAAGGTAAAGTTGTCCGTGGCCATCAAAAGATAAATTGCATCTGTTACATATTTATTTCGAACTATCATGTATGCGTTTGGTTTTCATTGCTGCTCTCTCAACAAAATTAGGCAGGATATTTGGAGAAACATGTTATCTTAGTGTATGGCGAAAGAAACATATATGGAGCAAAAGAAAATAGTTTCACTACAAAAATGAAAATTGAGTTGGTTGAAAGGTATCCGAGTTTCCAGCTGTAAATTGCTTACTCTGAGAAAATCTCTCGTCCTTATGGTGCACAATGAAGCTAGCCTACATCTTAGGGTAAACATGCCTACTGCTAGTAAGGTGATTGAAGAGATCCATTTTCTAATCAATATTAACAATATTATGACAAGATCAAGTTCAATGCGCTTATGTTATGAAATCTAGTTTTATCCTTGACAGCTGATCATATGTCATGCCGTTCTTCTTTTTGGGTGAGGGTGGGGAAGAAGACGGTACAATGTTGCTGAATGTTGAGTGTTAATTTTTATGACCCTTTTTGTGAATGCATAGAATGTTGGGTTCTTTTCCCCTTATCTTT